CACGCACACACACACACACGCACACGCGCACACACACACGCACACACACACACACACACACACACACACAGCCTGCACATCCACCTGCCCCAATGCGGCGAGATGTACCTGCAGCGCCAGCAGCAGCTGCCCGCCGCCGCCCGCAAGCCCCTGCCCACGCCGCCCGACGCGCTGCCTGCGAGCGCCGAGGGCCTGCCCAAAGGGCTCGCGAAAGTCGAGGCGTTCAACCAGGTCATGTTTGAGGCCTATAACGCCGCCACCCTCACGCGCTGCGGCGGCTGCGGGCGCACATTCAAGTGAGCGCGCTGCGGCGGGTTCACCGCGAACTTGCACGCGCCTCGCTTGCGCCATCGCCCAGTCGCGCGCGGTCTTTGGCGCTCCATGCGCGAGCGCTAGCAAAGAACACCAGAGCCATATGTGGGGATTCCCAAACCACTTGTGCTGAGCACCCACTCGGGCTGCTCGCGCGTGCTTCCACCAACCAACACGCAGCCCAGAAGCGTACATGAGGCATGCCAGCATTTGCAAGGGGGCTTCTGGTGGCGGCAGCGGAGGAGGCGGCGCAGCCACAGGCGCAGGCAGGGCGTCCGCGGCGGGCCAGTTGCCCCAGGACAAATCAGGTGGCGCCCGCGACTGCGCCAGCAGCGGCGGCCGCGGCGGGGCCTCTTGGGGTCCGCCGCCACCTTTGAAGGGTGGGTCGGGCGTCGACGGCGGCGGCGGGTTTGGCAGCAAGCCCCGCGCCCTGCTTTGCTACCTGTGCGGCCGCGGCTTTGGCAGCGCGTCGCTCCTCATTCACGTCGCACAGTGCGAGCAGCTGTTCGCGGAGCGCGAGGCGTGCAAGCCCCGCGGCGACCCCCGCCGCGCGGCGCTGCCGCGGCCGGCGGCGCTGGCGGGGCCGCTGCCGGGCGGCGCGGCGGCCATAGACGCCTTCAATGCGGATATGATGCGGGTTTTCAACTCCGAGTCCCTGGTGCCCTGCAGCTTCTGTGGTCGGACCTTCCTGTCAGAGGCTCTCGCACACCATGCAAAGCACTGCACGGCCGAGCGTCCCATGGGCCGCGCAGCCACCGGCGGGGAGGGGCGGGGCGCGAGCGGCGGCGGCGGCGGCGGCAACGGCGCAGCGCGCGGGGCAGTCGCAGGGGCGCCTGCGGGCGGGATGGACGTGGGCGGGGCGGAGGCGGCGCAGGAGCTGCTGCCCTGCCGCCACTGCGGGCGCAAGTTTGGGGCGGCGGCCCACTTGGTCCATGAGCGCGTCTGTGCGAAAGTGTTTGGGGGCGGCAAGGCTGGCAGCAGCAAGCGACCCTGAGAACAGAGGTCAGAGCTGGGGCTGGGGACTGTCCCTTTGGTCAGCGGTGGCGACTAGACCAGAGCCCGGTGCGCTGGTTCGTTGGCTGGTGATGCTGGCAGGCTTGCCTTTGGCACCTGATGGAGTGATCTTGGCCTGCGATGCCCAAGCGAGCTGAAAGCAGGGGGCGGCTAAGCTCTTGTCAGGTGGGATTGGGGTGGAGCGAAGGGGGCAGAGGGCAGACGGATTGCTGCGAGGGCCCCTGTCTCCGACGAATGCCCATGGCCCCCAAAAAGGCATGCACAGGAGGGTTGACCATGGTTGACCGAGTGCGGCGGGCATCACAGGTGTGCACCGCACACCGGACATGCCGTTTGGAAGGCGGGATCCAGGGGGGCTGGGATGCAGCTGTCGAGGGCGCCTCCTACTCTGTGTGTCATCCCCCCCCCAAACTGCATCACAGGTCACAGAGCCCGTTCCTGCCCTCTGCCCTGCCCACCAGCAGTGTGCGTAGCAAGCCAGAGCAACTCCCACCTCAACCCTGCCGGACACCGCACGTCAATAGCCTAGCCACTGTTTTTGCATCGTTTCAGTACATCAATCCACGGCTCCACAACGGCTCAGTTAACTGAGTAAAAACACACTGAGTTTGTGACAGGACAATGAAAAGGGGTTGCTGAAGAGGAAGAGTCAGGCCACTGACTGCATCAGACATGTGCACTCACGAGGGGTCAAAGACGCGACCTCTTTTCAGAGGCTTGGTCACAGTCACTAATGGCTGGCGGCATGCCCCGTCACACAACGCCGACCACGCTCGCCAGCCGCTCTCGCGCCGCCGCGCTCGCGCCCATCGCCGCCACGTCCCCTGCGAACGCGCGCAGCCGCCCGGTCCCCAGCTCACCCCAGCCTTGGGCGCCGCCGGCCGCGACGCCGTCAGCGGCGGCGCCCGCGAGCACGTCCGCGAGAGCGTCGTGCGGCTGCCCCGCGCCGGCAAACGCGGCGGCCAGCGCCGCGGCCGCGGCCGGGCGCAGCTCGGGCAGGCGGCACAGCGCGGCGCGCCCGAGGTCGCGGTATACCTGCCGTAGTGCCCGCGCGGCCGTCTCGGCGTCGCTGGGCGCGTCTCGCTCCGCGGCCCGCGGCGGGCCCGGCGCGAGCCGCCGCGCGGCGGGAGCGAACGCGGCCGCGGCCCGCGGGAGGTCGCCCGGGTCGAAGCAGGCCGCGTTGGCGGCGGCGCCGTGCGCCAGATGGGTCCAGAGCTGCGGCCGCCACAGGCCGAGGCGCGGGGCGGCGCGCGCGAGGAGCAGTATCTGGGGCCGGGAAAAGGCGCCGCGGCGCAGCTGGATGGCCTCTTGCAGGGCCTGCAGCACTGCAGCCTCTTCGGGCGTGGACGCCTCTGGCCGCCGCCGCTGCTGCTGCTGCTGCTGCTGCTGCTGCTGCTGCTCCTGCTGCTGCTGCTGTGGGTGCTGCTGCTGATGCAGATGCTGCTGTGGCGCCTGGGGCGACCCCAAGGCCTTTGCCAGGCTCCACGCCAGCGTGGCCACGTCCGCCGCCCCCAGCTCCTGCTGCCGCCGCAGCGCCGCCGCCGCCAGTCCCCAGGCGAGGCGCCGCCGCGAGCCCGGTGCCTCGTCCCTGCCGCCGCCAGTATGAGTCGGCTGCGCAGGCGAGTGCGAGAGGCTCCAGAGGAGGATCGTCGCGTCGAACGGCGCCAGGCTGCTCGCTTCTGGCGCTGCTGCTGCCGCTGCAGGTGTGTCGGCGCCAGCTGCCCAGCCCAGCACGGCCGGCAGCGCGTCGCACACGCGCCGCATGAGCTGCTGCCAACGCGGAGGGTCTGCGGCATCGCCCCCCTGGATGCCGGCGCTGCAATCGTAGCTGCCGGCGCCAGCGCCCTCGCTGCGGGCGCCGCCGGCGCCGGCGCCGGCGCCGCGCGCGGCGGCCCAAGCGAGCCGCGAGAGTTCCCACCCGCCGAGCGCGCCCCACGGCAGCGCCGCCGCCGCCCGCGCCGCCGTGGCGTTGAACAGGGCGGCCGCGGGAGCACCCCCGTGGGCGCCGCCACGCGGGGGCGGCGCAGCGGCGCAGGCCCAGAGCACCTGGATAAGATCCTCGGCCGACCAGTCTTCTGAATCGTCGCCGAGGCTGGCCGCCGCGCGCCGCTCCAGCTGGCGCCAGAGCGCGTCACCCGCACTATAGCTACTACTACTGCTGCTGCTGCTGCTGCTGCTGCTGCTGCTGCTGCCGCCGCCGGCCGCCGCCTCCTCCAGGGCGCGCCGCGCCAGTGCAGCGGCGGCCGCGGCCAGCACGCGCGGCCGCGGCGGGCGCGAGCGCGCGGCCCTGGGCGCCCCCCAAGCCGCCGCGAGCGCGTCTAGAAC